AAGTGTGGAAGATGAGCCACAGAGCTATGCAATTACAAGCAGACCTTGGATATACTGAGCTGACTGAACAGAAGCTCGTAAAAGGCATAAGGCTTGCTAACCCAGATTGCCCTCAGTCTTGGTGACTATTCTCTTGCCTACCATGCCTACCAGCAAAGAAACTGGAATGTATTTCCAGGAAAAAAAATTAAAAAAAAAGTGCAGTTCTAGAAACCTGTCAGCAACAAAGCTAGTTGAAGGAGTCCCTGCCTCCTCTCCTCTCACCTTTGGCTGCACGTCTCTATTGCAGAACCATTCCCCCAGTTGTGCTGACACAGCTGTCCACAAGGCAGTGCAGTGAAGTGGCTTGAAGAATAACTGCAGAAATATATGATCGTACAGTGTAAGGAGAAAAACGTACTCACTGGCATGGTAGAAGGGAGGTGGAAAAAGCCTAAATGAGTGTTACTGCCAAGGGAAGTTTCAATCAGACCAGTGCTCTATGCCAGAGCTCCTGATCTACACTCCAAATTAATATTGTTTACAGCAATTAGATCAATGAAGGCAAGAACCAGCACACTAGCATTCATTGTGCATTGAGGGTACAAATGATATTTTCCATTTTTTTAGACCAAGTGACTGCACAGAAAACAAAATTTCTCAATGCTAGTGACTCAAGGTGAGGACAGAACAAAGATTTGCCTTTGACCTGCTTTCAGCTAGCGCTTGCAGTCTTTTCTCAAGAGCCCTCATGTTCAAGCAGTCAGAGATGTGACTGAGAGAACACAGGGTTAACTTGTTTCAACAAGTGGAAGTCCTCCTTTTCTTCTCAGATGACTTCGCCTCCAAATATAAAAAGAAAATCCATTTGCATCAACATTAGTCCTCTGAATCATTAGCCCTTTGCAATCCATTTGCATAAACATTAGCATCAGAGAATCTCAAAAAACTCTCTCCCTGATGACACATTTTCCTAATAATTTAAAAACAATTTAAAAAAATCAATTTCCCCACTCCCAATCTCCCCTGGTATTTTCACATATGCAGGCAAAAAATCTCTTACTAATGCCACAAAGATGCACCCAGATGCCAGAATCAAAACTTTCCCTATGTATTCTCCTTAACAAGTCTCATTTAGCGTGAGCAGGTGGTGAGAAGGAAGCAGAGTAAGAGAGAAGAGGATTATTTTAGGAAAGGAAGCAATAACTGTGTTACTAGTCTGTCGAATAGTATGAATGGTGGAAATCTGAATCACGCTTTTACTGTATGAATGGTTAATTCCAATATGCTATTATCAACAATGATCTTCTACAAAGGATGCAATCTCCCTAACAAAAACCCATACACCTGTTAAAGAAGAGGAGGTTCTGCACCAGAAGTGTTGGCAAGCACAACGGAAGGACTCGCTTGAGTGAGGCACCGGTCTCTAAGGCCCGTATCACACCTCCACACTTCATTTAAAAATTAGCCCATTGAAAGTAATGCTTGAAAGAAGAAGGAAAGGGGCTGTCAAACCGGAGTTAGGGATAAATTACAGCTACATTTTTAGCTTCCCCGAAAGGAAGCACTTTTGACAAAAAGCGCTGCCAAGACAAAACCCTAGCAAGTAAATGAGATATTTAAGAATGCACCTACTCACGCTCAGTAAGTATTACTACAGTGATGGAGATTACATACCAAGGAAATTTCATGGCATACATTTAACAGAGAACTGGATTACACAACGGTATGTACAATGTCCCTTCCAGATGGGAATTAAGAATTTCAGCACTAGAAGCAGTCTCTCTACTGCCCGCAAGCAGAGGGTGAGCACCTAAGCTAGTACATGGAGAATGTCCTCTGGAGTATTTTAAATTTTTTTTTAGATGACCTTACTAGTTCTCCCTATTTAAACAAGTTGCTTTCTATCTTGTGCTTTATCTGTTTGTCCACCCCTCCGGCTCTCATGGCGGGGTGACTGCAGTGGTTTCTGCCTGCACAGAAGGGATGGCTCAGCTGCTTCTCTGGCAGCTGCTGACCCATCACAAATTACAGCTTACTGTACTGAAGTATGTGGAAATTGGTGCCTATCTTAGTACACAGGACTGTAAACCATGGTGGTTCAGCAGCTGCCACACAAACAGCTGAGCCAACCCTGCAGCAAGGGTAGAAATGAAAGAGATGGCAAGAATGACTGCAACAGCCCTTGAGTAAAGCACACTTGACTTAATGTTGACCTCTGGTGAGTTACACGTCTCTTGCTTCAACTGCTCTGCTGTAACATGGGTAGTTTCACTCCCACACACTTCCTAGGAATGGTGCTACAAGGATATGTGCCCAGTGCTATAAAGAATGCCACAATTATTTGCAGAATGGGTACTATTGTTAATTAAGCAGAGCCCCAGACGTACATGCACTGTTCTAATTGCTCCATTAAAAAAAAAGATTGATCTGATACGATACTCTTGAGGTTTTACAAAAGATGTAACCAGTGCTAGAGATGAAAAGAAATTCCATCACCTTATTTTTATTTTTAAAGCACAAAAGGTATTGCAACCTTACTTGGAAAAAAGCCTCAACAAATCATCCTAAGATGCACTGTCTGTCATTGCCATGTCATGCACATGCTTCCCAAGGACAAGCTCGATATTCTTATCAGCTCTGCGTGGCAATTTATCTACTAGATATTTCATCAGCCTCTGCTGTGCAGAGCTCTCTTGTTTTTCAGCTTTGGTGCCCATTCCAAAGTTATTTCAGTCTCGTTGTTATCTGTACTGCTGGTGATAGGCCCTGGCTGCTACCATCCCCTTGTTTCTCTTCATAAAGATGCTCAGCAGTTTCCTGCACTGGTTTGTCCTCTGGTTCAACATTTTGACACAAAGCTACTCCCACTGCTCTACCAACCCACCTTCTTCCACTAGCAGGGATTCTGTAATCATGATAGGAGGCATTTCTAACCAGGATATGAAGACAAGGGAACGTTACCGAGGGTGCTGCAATCAGGTTACACACAGCCAGCCCTCCCACTTACTCTCATCACTCCTCATGGCACGGGCATTGCTCCATTTCTCTGCAGCTCCATCCTTCCTCCCCACCCACTGCATGCCCCTTTCCTTCAGCTACAAACTTCGTTGACGTCTGTATTTGCTCCCGTTGCAGATATCACATGGAGAAGACCATGTGGATATGGGTTTCCCTTGTACTTTTAATAGATTCCTGTCAGGCATACATCAAGCAGCACACCACACGGATCTAAAATTGCAGCAAAATACACAGCAATGCGCATACCCAAAGAGCACAGTCATCTATTCCCTGTGGCAATTTAAGAAAAATGAAGAAGGTTACAAGGTCACATTTTAAAATCTAACACTTGGATTTCCAGCTATTCAGATGCTCACTGAAGTCTATAAATTCTTCCCCATGTTTTTTTGCACATGGTATAGAAAAGGAAGGCGCTTGAATCCCCTGGATTGTAAAGGTCTTTCTAGCTTGCACAGTTACAAATCACATCCATTGCTGAGCGCAGACTGGCTGCAACGTGATTCCCCACTCATCTCACTAGCCTTGCGCTTGGGAGTAGGTGTTTTGCCTTTAACACAGCGCAAATGTGTTTCATGCTGTTTTATTTCCAAAAAAAGAATGAATATTTGTTTGTATGGCAAAACAAGATGATCGTTTAGAGTTGCGTTTGAAATGCCACAAACAAATACAGTAAGAGCTATGTTTACATCTTTCATCCTATTATTTTGTATTTTGCAATTTTCCTCCCTAAATCACTGACCTGCCCCCTTTCTTCTCAGACTCCTAATCCATGAGTCAAACAAAAACAAAAAACACAACCCTATCCGCCTCCCCAAATAGGGAAGAGTTAAGTAGTGATATTGGCAAGTATAACAAGTGCTACCCCCTTGCATCTGTTAATTAACTATCTAGAAGAGTGGCATTTTCTATGTTTAGCCTCACAGAACTTTCTCTTTAAATGACTTGGGTGCAATATACTTACAGAATAACATTATTTGGCATAAAATGCAGATGAGCCTGTGAAATGAAAAATACCTCACCTGCTCTTCACCTCTGATAACAATGTTATCACGGCTGTTTTACTGTTCAGAGACGCATAATTGTTATTTTGTCATAGCTCCCTCTCTCCCAAGATTAATATTCTACAGCTAAATGAAAGAAGAATTGCTCCTAGACTCTATCAGTAGCTCACAGCCTATGCCTAGGCAAGTTTCCTGCATGAGGTGGGAATGGAAAGAACTCCCTCGTGCATGGCTGCTGCCTCCCCTCACTCCTCCTTGCTTCTGCCAAGAGCTGGAATGATGCACTTTTTTATGCAGCCACAGGTAGGGTGGAAAAAAGAGGGGAGAAAAACCCTGGAGAATGGGGTCAAAACTAGACTTGGGAAACCACTTCCAGAGAGCTTTTGTCTGTCATTTTAATACCTGCCCTTTCTTTTTGCTTTCCTTAGATTTCAACGTGTATAATTATAGCCAGCAGCAGCAGGCAGTTGATGGTTCGTTTAGGAACTGCGCCCTGAACAGGCACGAGGTATGTCTGAGAAAAACCTGTTATCTAGTACTTGGTACTAAAATATGAAGCAAAGGAAATTCCAGAGACACTCAAAAGTGAGGTAAACCATAACAACATAACAGTTCTAAAACAAACTGTGGAGCCACCTTAAAACCACCAGTAAATGTTGCATTCCTATTGACCTGCGTTCAGCAGCTCTCAGCCACACACCTCGGGACTGTGCAGTGAATCCTTCACTCACAATCACAAACCTCCACGTGTGCCACAGCAGCCCAGCTCCTCTGACATCGCCTAACAATCTCAGTGACGCTGGGACAAATCCTGCTGCCTAAGTCCCTTTGAAGGCAGGCATTTACAAACTCCGCCGTGACCTCCACTGACACCAGGCTGCAGCATGACAGACCTCAGCAGGCTCCTTTGCAAGGATGCTGCCTGGGAAGCGGCGCTGTGCGATAAGGCGTGCGGCTAGAAATCAAAATCAATCTGCTGCGGTTGAGGTTTCCACTTACCCAGCTTGGCGGCCCCATCTGGCGGGTACTCGGGGAATTGGCCCTCGGAGGGCACGCTCACCGTCCGGCGCAGGCAGCGCCCTTTGGTAGCATCCTGCGGCTCCTGCGCCCCATCCATCGGCACCTGCGTGAAAAGGATGCCGACAGCTGTTAACGTTCCATCCCGTCGAGAAGTTAACTTTCTGCTGATCTAGTAATAACGTTCAGGAGCAGCTCGGCATGGCTGGCCTTACCAAAAACTCCCTGAGAAGAGGTGGGCTTATGGGCGAGCACCGGAGCATTGAGCTGTGCTGGTGCACAGCCCGCACAGGACTGCACGCAGGTATCAAGTAACAACAAACCAACCCATCTGAATAACAGGGCAGTGCTGCTTTGCAAAATCTGTTTCCCCATGCCGGACCCATTGCTACCCTGTCTTGCCCACTAAAACACAGGGAAATCCAAGCCGAGGCTGCTGGCTGCACGTGAAACTCAGGTTACAAAAGCAATTTTTCCAGTCTCTGCACAGCCATACTCACCGATCAGCTGCAGCATGCCGGAGGAGAACGGGCATTCAGCTGGTGATATTGGCCACATCAAGAAAGGGAGCAGCTTCTACTAAAATTGAGTCAAAGTCTTCCTAAACACAGGACCTCAGAAGGGTCTACAAAAGGCTGGGAGTCCCAGATGCAGAGAGCTCTCTCAGCACCCAAATTCTTTTCAAAAGTAGTGAATGTCTAAAAATCTTGTTTCTCATCTGAAATGTTGGTAGCACTTGACCCCTCAGGGTTTGCTCCCCCTTCCCCTCTGCCTTTAAACACCTGCCTGGATGATGACGTCTTTCTAGAGAGGTGCTTATGCTGCAAAAACAGAGAGAAATTGAGCTACCTGCCACTACAGCTGCAGGGCATTCAGACAACAACCAACAGCTCTAAGAGAGCCCAAGCAATGCAGCCTCCTTGATCGACAGAAACAGAGCCTGACCTACTCCTACCCCAAACAGGAAAATGTAAAAAGGGATTTGAGGGGTAAGGAAGAGAACCCAACTGCTTTGCAAATTTATACGCACAGCTTTGTGCATCCTGATTTTGTTTATGCGATCAATTGGAGCAGCGGTCACTTTGCATACAGGAACGCAGACAGACAAAAACTGCAGAGAGCTGCCTGCTCGCTACAGCACGAGCCACACAAGCCACTGGAAAACCTTTATCCTTAGCTTTACCCTTCAGAAGAACATACAGATTGTTCTGAGCAGGTCCAAAAGACAACAAAGGTTATCCAAGTTGGTAAAAGAGAGGACAAGGAAGACAGAGACTACACAGAAAAAGGGTGTTTCCAGAAGGGAGCAGAAAAGCTCTTAGCCCATGGTGACCATCCTTGCCCCTGCTGGGTCACTGGCAAGGCCAGCACTGTGCAGGACACCTCTGTGTGCCCCAGGACACCCAAGAGGGTGTCCCCAAGAAGGACCAGAGCTGAGATGTGCTGGCTGACAGCAAGTCCAGCTGGTGCTTCTACAACGCGGCACCAGGAGAGGACACTGAGCGGGGAACTGGGAACTTCTGAGCCTGCCAGTTACCCCCAGTCAGCCATGCCCTGCTTCCTGCTGGCCTGCCTGCTCACCGTGGTTATGCCCGGGGCTGTGGAGGTCTCTGCACGCTCACAAATTACTGTTAGCCCCATGCTGGTGGATTACTGAACCTGCTGTTGCTCTGCTCTGGCTAACTGGATGACCGGATGACTGGACTTCTCCTAACAACACAGCTAATCGTGCTCCTGATCCATATTTATCACAGCACCATTATTTAGAGATGACTTGTCTAACCCTAAAGCTGTCTGCCCGGGGTCTTACCACCTCCCGTAACAGCCCGTACCCTGGTGGGGCTGCCCCATGAGCCCAGACATCACCTGTGGAAAGAAGCCCAGAGGGTGAGGGAGAGGTGCAGCAGCCAGGGGCCGGAGGCAGGCACAACCCCTTGGTCCCAGCACACTTCTAGTGAGGACATTGGCTCTGACGTTACAGCCGTGATGCATGTCATGCTGCAATTGCTTTCAGACAGCTCTGGAAAAAACACAACTTGCAGCCTGAGGAATAGAAGCCCCTGTCATATTTCCTGTGCTGCTTATCCTTTCATATCTCCAAGCATCTCTGAAAACAGAGTATTAATAGCAAACAAAAAGATATTATTCATTTGTACAGAAGGTTGCAATAGATGTATACGATACTGTACTATTTTAGAAACAGGCTGCACTACACTGGCTCTCACAAACTACTTCTGGCATTTCCTGACTTTCAAGCACTTAGCATTCTCATAAGGTCATTTTTAATGCTATTTGTTACTATGCCAGTCTATTTGTCTCCTTCCAGCAGTGCTCATTTTTTAAAACAAGTTTCCCAAATCCCTGGTGGTTACTCTGTGAAGGCTACTTTCTTCACCGGTAGATTTTTACAGCAGGTCCTTTGCTGAATGATAGCCGGGCGAAGCCCATTAGGAAGTTAAGCAGAGACTAATTTTGTTAGTTTATGCTACACTCATTCAATCAAGATCACAGATTAGATTTTCAGTTTTCATCTGGAGACGCCACTTAGTCTTATTCCCTTCTACACGCTGTTCTGCTGACTGCCTGGTCTGCCTCTCCCGATTTCCTCCAGAGCACTTTTTTGGGGGATGCTGCAAGCCACATCTCCGGAACAACTACGAGCAGGCACTTCAGTACCTCTGGGACCTTCCTGACACAGGACAGAAGCATTCTTTTAATCCAAAGACAAGAAAAAGCTGCTAGCACCACGCTGCTATGGTGTGTATAGGGATGGTGACAACAGCCAGGACACTACAAAGGCAGATTTTGCTGCTGGGGCGAGGAGGAGGAGGATGGTGGCTGGGGCTGCGCTGTCCTTTGTGCCCTTGGGAAAAACAAACAGGCAGCCGGTGTCAAAAACAAACCTACTTCTGCATACCAGAGATAGGATTTATCTTCAAAGAGGACCTAGCCATTAGCAGGAAGAGTGTCCAAGGGCTCCGGTCCTAGCTCTGAGTCACGCTGCCTTTTGTACTTACCATTTGCCCAGACCGGGAAAATGCAGTTGGGCTGCACCCTAAAGTAGGTTCGTTGGTGTAGCAATGTTCACCTGGTGCGAAACAGCAAAAGATTGCATTTGTTGGTGTGTTCACAAGGGCTTGAGAAACACCTACTACTGTGTATTTGATTGAAGAATTGTGTAAGCTGCACGAGGAAGAACAACACTTTCGTGCCACATGGCTCAATCTATGCCTGCACACGTACAAACAGCCCACGATTCCATCGGTGAGATTAAAGTAGCAAAGGAGCCACAAAACTTAAGTCTGACTTAACACTGCAATGTTATTTTAAATAACACACCTCCAAAAACATAGTCTCGGCCTGCACTGACCATAAAAACACGTAATCCCAAGCCTGCCTTGCTGCTGTTCGTTGCTCAGTGCAAGACCAGCCAGCTCTGAAAAATCCAGCTCCACAAATGTGAAGAGCGAGCTTGGCCAGCAGTGCTGCACCTCTGCGGACTGGGTGCGTTTCTAAGCCTGTAAATAAATCACCCCGGGGTAGGCCAAAGGGATTCACAGATTGGGTGGCACTCAAAGGCAAGTGCACAACCAGACACTGTGCAAACAGCGATACATCAGCATCTGCCACCCCTCCTCCAGCCCCTGCCTCCCCAGCAGGCATCTCAGCCATGGAACAGAGGACAACAAAGTATTGCAAACACAGGACTGAACTGCAATTTAGGCTCCCACCTCTTTTCTTTGTACAGCTTTGTTATCTTGGGTTTTTGTTCTTTGGCCTGCCAAGACTTCACTGACCTGGGAGTTGCCCAGCCCTGAGCTGAATTGTTGGTAATTCAGAAATCTTCACAATTTTGATCACTGGCCACGTTTCTTTGGTTCTTCGGATTTTCAAATTTTAATGAGGGCAGGTTCACAGCTCGGATTCTCACCCCTTGAACGGCATCACAGCTGACCTGCCACTGAACGTGCTTTTTAAGTATAAACACCGTATTTGGGATCTCGAGCTTGATGATGAAGAGATTTCAGAAGAAACTGAGTAACATCTCCATGAGCATTTAACGCCACTTAAAGGCAGAGTAAACTGGTCTCCTTAAAAAAAAAATAAGTAGGCAGAAAAGAGTTTCTTCACTGCAGATAGATTTTTTCAGACTGGAAAGACTGATTCATGACAAAAAATCACAAACACTTGAAAACTTGCAGCCTCTTCTGAAATGATAATCAATAAGTTGGGAACCGCATCAACAAACAGATAATGGAAAGCTCTTCACTTCAATTCTTACCTTCCTTGGGGACTTTGGAAAACAAACAATTAAACTCATTTGGGAATTGAAGCAAATCTTTTCTTATGACTGAGTTCAGCTTTGACAAACTCGCACTTACACGCCAGCCAGACGTGCTGTAAATACCAATGTGACAAGTTTTGCGGATGGCATGGGGCGCTTCTGGAAACCTCCCCTGGGGCACCACTCACCACTGTCTGCTCTTGCTATGAGCTCTCAGGAGCATCGCTGTCACTCCACGACTGGTGTCAGTCGCAGAAGATGGACGAGTGCAAAAAACCCACCGGAGATGTCCTGCTGCTGGCCTCTGCCACCAGCACCAGTAAGGAGCCAACCTTGTCATGGAGAATGGTGACTGCAGATCTTAGCTCTACTTTGCCCTCGATTAAAAATGCCTCCCGATCTGATAGAAAAATGAGGGAAGTATGGGAAGGAAAATAAGAGTCTAACACAGCGAAAAGTGATTTTCATCTCCGTTTGCAGCTGAACACAAAATTAAAAGATTCTGCAGGACAGCAGCCAAGTTACAGACAATGACTAACTAAAAGGCAGCCCCAAACCAGATGCAGCCATTTGTCACATCCCTCGTGAAAGTGCTGTGCAATGGATTATCTATCTGAAACCACTGATCAGAGCCACTGACTCATTCCCTTTTCCTGCTTAAATGCTGCTGTTTTTTGCAGCCACCTTTTCCTGTGTCCTCTTTGAAAGTATGTCCTCACCGCTCTTCCCTATGGAACAGGTTTCAGCAGCGATGAAAACATCGACACCTTCCTGACAGTGAGAAATTGTCTTCCTCATAGGAAAAAAAAAAAAAAAAAGCAAAAAAAAAAAGCTGATTTGTAAGTGAATCAGCCCAGACCTGTTCTCCTAGTCTTAGAAGGTGTTGCTAGATATTGCCACACCATGAGATGTTCTAGTAATTGCATTGCTCCTGTCACTCGAGACTCCTTATGTGCCAAGTCGTCCCTCATGTCACTACAGGGGTTCATTTTCTTTCTACTTAATTTTTGGGCCTCCATCTCTTCCCTTCATTAATAATCTCCACGTTCCAGTCTCACCCATTTTCATTGTATGACAAGGTGTCAAGAAATTAGTATTTATCCACGCTGCACAAGGTGATACTCTCAGGCTATTTTTGTCTAAGCAATTACAGATATTTTTGGATCACATTGTACCTTGAAATTTCTCTGAATTCCAACATGCTGTTGGGCTTGCACAGTGCAAAATCTGTCTGCACACAGTCCATCCAAACTGCCCTGTCAATAAAGCTGTACAGAGAGGAAGAGGGAGGGTGTTAGAAGAAAAAAGTTTCCTTACTACTTGGCTTCCTTCTGTTCTGTTCCCTTCATCTTAAAATAAAACTGTGTGATTCATAATGCAGTATTTTAACTGAAAGAAACCCATGCTAGTATTTACCTGAAACAACCGAGACACCTTTCATTTACCTGTTTGCATTTTGTATGTGTTCCTACTTTTGGGCTTTGACATTCATACTTGCATAATAATTCTACAAAGATCATACACATCAAACACTTCTGTTCCTTTTCAACTTCACACGGTCTAAGCTTCTTGGATTTTTGCTCTGTGAAGTAACAATGCAGATGCATAGAAAATAAAACGAGGTGCATCAGACTTGCAGTGTTCAAATTACACCAGCCTTTAGATGGTGCAGGCGCTCCCTGTCGGCTGAAAGGGCGCTCTGCTGTTAGCATCTCTTCCTCCTTCCCTCACACCCACCCTTTAATGATGCATATCATTCCGTGCCTCACATTCTTCCTCAGATCCTCATCAACAGTGCAAAGAAAATCCGACCTACCGACTCCATTGGCAATTTTCACATTCAGAGCAGGAACCTCTCCCTCTTCGGCTTCCTGTTGCCCATCTCACCTCACTTCAGGTTAAAAAGACTTCCTCCAGGGTCACCTTTCCAATAATTTTACTCTAGATATAATTTTCTGTTTTCCTCTTTTAGTAATCTCCCTTTTCCTTATGCATTTAACTCTGTCCTTTGTTTAGGATGCGGGTGCCTGTGGTCCCACCAGGGCCCTTTTCCATTCTCCTCCTACATACCTTTCCATCATTACGCTCCTCGAGCATCTCCCCCAGCGCTGCCTTAGGCCTTTGTTTGCTGCTACCTGGAGATCACATTTCATGGAGCCTTTCACCTCTGAATGACTCGCACCAGGTTGCCTCCCCTTCCCTTTCCCATGAAAGCTACAAGGGACGCTTCTGTTTTGGGGACATCAGAGGAGCAAATCCGGAGCATCAGCTCAGCGTCTCTTGCTGAACAGTTCTACCAGTGCAGCTGTTCTGCGTTTCTTTTGTGTTTCTTTAGGAGACTGTAACTATGCTGCCATGCGTACAGACGCAGAAGTAGATTAAAACAACCTTTTATTTTCCTATAAAGTACTTATGACTCTGCAAAGTATTTTCCTATAAAGTACTTATGACTCTGCAAGGAGTTCCCTTTTTCCTTTCACTTACAGCAAGCCCAATTACTTGAAAATCAGAATGGCAAATATGACTCCAGCTACTAGCTTCTGAAGCAAATCCCATTATCAGCATGTGGAGCCACACCTGCACCAGAGCATGTCTGCCTGGTTCATCTGCATGCAGCATTTTCCAAAACAAGTTATTTCTCATCGTGATAGTGCTGGCAGCACTCCTTTGAGAGCACAGCGCAAAGATTTCCTTTACTATACTTAAAGCCCATGCTGTGCACGCCCAGCAATGAATTTCTCCACCTTCTGGCAGAAAACAGGCAAAACCAGAGTGTATTTAAATGTCATATATGAGAACTTTACATCAGTGATGCATTAGACTCCTCATATTTACTCCTCAGGATCTAAGCAAGAGGCTTATCTGACTCCTGGCAAAATGTTTTTAACTGTATGCGGTAAGAGAAATTAACAAGCCATACGAGCATGGTTACCACCTTCAGATAATTATTACTGATATGAGCCAGTGTTTTTTTCCCCAATTACATTTCTGTAATGAGATGCATCCTTTTAGCCTAGCTATGCTGGTACAGTACAGCTTTAGGATTAATTCTCATGTCCTTAAGTTTCTTCAGGTTATACTTTAATTCCCTAGGTGACATTCCTGCCAGACTAGAAAAAGAATGATGTAGTAAACAAACATTATGATACGGGTCTTCCATTTTCCCTGCATTTGATCACCTCTCCTATAAATTAGCATTGATGTTGTTCCCTTCTAATAACTAAAGTCCTTCTCTAAACCTTTTCCTCCCACTCTCCCTATGAAGGGAAATATTTCAACCTTTGTAGACACACCTGATCATAGCTCAAGACGGATAACATTCAGTGCTATGCCAGCAACAGGTATAATAAGCCCAGGCTGTGCTCAGCCATATACAGAAGATTGCAAAGAACAAAGAAAAAAGCAAAAATTTAGGTTATGTCCAAGAGGTAGGAAGCCATGGGATTAGAGTCAAACTCATGGACATTTATATAAAATAAAATCTGTTCCAGTAATTTGAAATCATTCCTGCTTTATCTTGAAATATTTAAACAGGGTAAATCTATAGCACAGTAATTGAGCAAACAAACCCAGAAATATTATCAACTTCTAATGCCAACGTATGTGTGAGAGTCCACAGACATCAAATATAACAAGAAAAAACATATCAAGGTGTAACCTGCGAGAGGGAACTTATCAGCATTTATTTGTTCAAAATGTTTCAATCAACTAAAATGTGCCTATTCTTTAACCACACGGACATTACCTTCATACCACGGCACAACGCCCAGTCCTACATGCTATATATACACACACACACAGTAATTTTATAATTAAGGCAAAGATGGTTGCAATAGCTTTGAGTATTCCATGCCAAGGGCCACCCAATCCTGTTTGCTACATTTAGCTAGAGAGAAGGCAAACCTTTGCCTCAATTTGCCTTCTGACTGCAGGAAGGATGACTGTATGGTGTGAAGGCTGCACGCTGCAGCTCAGCGCTCTAACGCAGCCACCACCAGCGTCCCATTTCCCAAGCTCATGTCCGCACTGATGCGAGGAGATAGGTTTACAAAGCCACGGTGGCTTTACTTACCATTAAAAGCAGCAATAATGCAGAAAGATGGAGTGGCAGAGTTAAATGCAGGGCAAAGAACTCCAGCAAGGAGTGGTGGATGCACACAGTTTGCTGTCACCTCTTCCATGCAACCGGCATCTGGGCCAGCTAGATTATGACTGTGAGTGCTACTGCTATCCCTACATGCAGAATAGGTTAGCTCCCTCCTTTCACGCTCATCACTAACCTCATGAGCAACAACAAAAAGGAGGAGATGAAGAAATGGCCTTCCCATTTCACCAACGAAGGCCAACAGGCACGGGCTGAGCGGCCCACGTGTGTTCCTCTCACCTCTTTCTCCCTGTTGAGCAGCACCAGCTGGCTGTCGGTCAGGATGCAGTATTTCCTCTCCCATGTTGTCGTATCGGTGTAGGGGGACTGGCCGCAGGACAGCCTGTGCGTAGGTGGTCCTTTCACATCTGCGAACAGAAAACCGGGATCCCGGAGTCATTAGCGTGTGTCATTACCCGCCCTCCTTCGCTTCTGTGGTTCTGCAGCAAGCTGCACACCAGAGCTGCAATCTGTACTCAGCAGCGCCTGGCTCAGCGTATTAAAAGACAAACTGCTAATCCTGGGAGGCACCCGTGGGGAACGCAATGTGAGGTACACCGGGAGTACTTAGTTATCTAGAGCATGACTTACGAAAATGGCAATGCCCGAGAAGAATATAAATGCTGTTGCTTAAGACTGAAATATAACCAAAAGCAAAGACCGAGAGCCTCACGCAAGCTCCATCTTCCCTCTGTTTCCTTCACAAAAGTGTGGGCCCTGAGCGTACCCGAACTCTTAACAAACTGGATTATTTGAGACTTAGGGAGGAGAGGCACAGGAAGAGAGACTGGGAGCAAGGCAGGCTGGCTTGAAGAAGGGAGGGAAAATCCAAAGGGACCGGCATTTCACTGAGAAGGGCTTAGTAGCACTCCTATGGCAGGAAGCTGTTTGGTAAAGCTGTGGCAGATAGGAGTCTTCCAGCATTTCCATTCAGTCACAGCCAGCACAGTGACAAAAATAAATAAATAAATAAAAAGTCGATTTGCTTCAGGTCTTTTAGGCTGGAGCACCACACCCCGTTGTGCAAGGCACCCTGTCAGTGCCCCGAGCAGGCTGGGTACAAAGAAGGCAGCCCGAGGAATTCAACTGAGCAGGCAACTCACTGTAAAAACCTCTTTACAGGAGACCGAAACACCACAGAGTAATGTAAAGGGGATGTATGCAACAGAGCCATTGGTAGCACCACGTATACAACTTCAGAAAATGGTTTGAAGTCAATCTCTGAAGTTCCACGTTCTGCATGATCTGTAACATTGAGCCTCACTTTTATCCTGCACTCAAGTTTTACACCTCTCTCTTTGCCCTGATCTAAGTGAGCACCAGTCGCTCTCAGGCTGTGCTCTGCAGCCTCCTGAAGCCTCCAAACCACAAAAAGCAAGCCCACTGCCAGCAGCTTCCCCTTGCTGTGCAGGAGCCCAGGATCCCCTCCTATGTGAGGAACCCAGCAGGCAAAAGGGGCGTTGAAAACCCACTTGAGGTGTTCTGCAGAGCTTGTCCATAAACCTGCAGTGGCACAAGGCTCAGAAGATGCTTGCTGTGACTGCTGCCCGCAGTCACCGCTAGAGGCCAGTGAATCCTCAGGCACCCAGCGCCCGCCCGGCTGCAGGGAGCCCTTGGAGCCCAAGCAGGAGCCCAGCTTGACCCTGGGTGCTCGGCCAGCTGCAGCCGTGGTGCTCCCAATCCCACCTCGTGGCTCCCAAAACCGCAGTTTCTCTCTGCTCTCCTCCTCCACACGGCAGCTTTGCCCCAGCGCCGAAAGGCACGTGTCTGCTCCTAACGCTGGGGAAGTAAAAACCCAGTTACGCCCCGAGATGCGTTCGGAGTCCTGTGGTGGTTCAGAGGAATACCTGAGACGTGCAATCTGATACGGGTAAGGAAGAAAAAGCAGAGGAATGCATCGCTCCTGCCACTCTGCACAATACTGAAATTCACCTCTGTTTCCTTGATTTCGGATGAGATAATTCAGACGGGAACCTGAGGTTCAGAGGCAGGCCGCACACCGTGCTGCCTGGCCTGAGGGGTGCTGCCATTCGGGGCAGCTCTGAGCCTCTCCCGGCAGCCCCAAACCCTGCTTGATACAGGCACAGCCCAGGGAAACCACCAGGGCCGCTGTGAAGCAAAAGCACGGCCGTGCAAGCTGCTGGGGCACAGGAGACTCTCTCAGGAGTCACCCACGGCTTTGGCCACCTCAGAGAGGCTCGCTCCTGAGGCAGGCTTTTGGCACACCTGCAGCTCACGTTTATGGCGGCTCCCAGCCCCAAACCGAACCAGACGCAGAATGTAAATGCTGCTGCTCCTGCTTAGCCCTTGGTTTCCCCAACAGCAGCAGAGGAACCCAGCCCGTGCCTCAACAAGCCCAAGCGAGGCCTGCAGGCTCTGGGCCTGCAAGCAGGCTGCAGGGTGAGGACAAAGCCCCGGACCCCAGCCGTGAGCATGTACCAGAGGTGAAGCCCAGAGCTTGGGGGCTCCAGCCCCTCAGGAAGGAAAGCCAGCTTTCTCCCGACACAAGGAAACCCTCCTGCACCCCCAGCAGAATCTAACAGTCATGACTTGTCCAGCCCCCAAAGACTTTTGCATTATAATTTCTGCTAACTACAGGCCTTGGCAGCACACCACCCGATTGATCTGCGGGGCCGCACAAAGGGATTAAAGAACAGCACGGCTCCTTCCACCGCAATAACAACTTCGGGACCTAACTGAGTCATCGGGCGCTGCGGGCCAGCCCCAGCTCTGCTGCCAAGTGGGCTGGCTACGTCAGAAGAGCTTTCTGCAGCCTGCTGGCAGCGCAGCGTGCCGTCACGGTGCCTGGAGCTGTCAGTCACGGCCTGGCGTTAATATCTGGTGTGCTGGCACCCTTCTGATCGCACAGCAGGACACAGCCCCGCTGCCCCCACAGTCTTCCACCCAGAGGAGCAGAGCATGGTGGGTTCCTGAGGTACCGGGTACCCCCGGCCCTCTCCCCAGGGCTGATGGTACAAAAGCACATCTCGCACACCAGAGGGGAGCTCACAAGGAAGCTGCCCACAACAGAAATCACAGTGAAAGCTCCGGTGTGTCCATGCCTAGCCACTTCTCTTCCTGTTTAAACCAAATGTCAGCTAGCCTGCCCAAGCAGACCTCTTCAGAGCCCCTTGCAACAGCTGTAACCCCAAAACTCACCCCGAGGGGTTCTACAGGTTTAGACTGAAGCTCTTTGGGACTTCACACAGTATCATGTATACACCCGGTTGCTTCACAAACTGTGTTTTGTTTTCTGGTTTCATGTTTAGTCTTCATTTTACATTCTTGGTCCCAAGTTTTCATGCGAATGGAATAAAACCTACCAATCCCTTCCACTAATGCCCTATAAACCTGATTTAGCACCACTGATCAGATCACTAAGGAAGGGAACGCCAAGGTCCACTACTGTCTGGGACCACTTAGCTTCAGGGCAAGGCTGAAAGTCACCTCGGGGCTATTCTCTGCCAGCTCATACAGCGCTGCCTATCGGTTCATACAAAGCCTTTGCCCGAGGTAACTCACCAATGAATGCAAATACTTCACTTTGGACAGGGGCTGGGGAAGACATGAGGCAGGCACACCCAAAAGCTCCAAGCCTGCAGACGTGTGTGGGACGGGCTCAGGCAGCCCCACACCTGAGCACACAGCAGGGAGAAGACGTCCTTCCTTCCTCCCCTGGTCTGCTGCAACCCGCTCCCTTCGGCCCTATGACAATGAGGCATTCAAGAAAGCAGATCAGTCAGCCTATACATGGAATAAAGGTCATGCCTTATGTGCCTACAAATGCTAATGGCAGTTAAGTAACAGCTTGGAAAAAATCCCCTCCTCTGTGCATCCTCCCCTGACACCCCGAGAGGAGCAGCGCTGCCCGCCTGGCACGGCTGAAGGTTTGAAGCTGGGCTGTTTTTCCTCGGGGCACTGAAATGCCATCAGGCACTTTATAAATATCCACAAAGCTCCCTTTCTCTCAGCCAAATGACAACTTGTACCTTATTATCAACTACAGAGCTAATGAAGGGAAAAAAAAAAAAAAAAAAGAGGAAAAAAGGCAAAAAAAGGGAACAGTCTTGCTGCGACGGCGTTTCAGATAAAGGTGTTGGTTGGGAACATGGAAACATGGAAAGAAGGAGCCAATGCCAAGCCCATCCCCACGGAAAGGGCCAAAACATTTTCTGAAAGCTGATGGCAGCTGAGGGAGCAGTACGAGCGCTATCAGATGGGAACATTTCTGATTCTTCCATTGCAACTATGCAACAATTAAAAAAAAAAAAAAAACACAAACAAAAGCAACTTCCAAACGCATTCACAAGCGGAGAGTACTTTCCAGTCAGTGGGCAGAATCAGAAAATTATTTCCAAGCGATGTCAAGTGTTCCAGCAGCACTTAGTCCCCAACAGCTCTGCTGAAACAGAAGGGGGGCATCAACTCCCGAAAACTACAGAATCTGCAGAAATCAGGCCAACAAAACTACATTAAAGGTAAATCCATGTCTCCAGCTCCTTTTGCCAACAAGCACTCTGCCTACCATCAATAACCACACAAAAGCAAACCTCCATCCCAGCGATGACAAGAGCAGCCCTGGCACGTGCCAAAGCCCCTTTCCTGAGCCACGCTCTTCCTGGGGCGAAATCGAGGGCTTTCTGAAGCCTTTGCCAAATTTTCATCGACTTTACTAGGGTCTGTATTCTGCTCCTCGCGTTTCCAACAAGGAGCTGCCAAGCAGCTGAGTAACTAACGGAGTGGCCAAGTTTGTGTGCTTTCCCCTGAAGAGAAAGATTAGAAGGAGCCCTAACACCTTCTGACAACAGGTCTGTCAGTGTTTCCGTGCGGCTTTATGTACTTGCCATAGAGACAAGACTTGGAGAGCTTTAGGTAAATGCTGTCGTCTGAGAGCTTGTCAGTACCCCAACCTACACAAATGTGCACGAGCAGGCAGCTCGGGTTGAATAATCATCAGCTCGAAGCTTTATCAAGCCGCTGAACAGAAGCTGAGACTTCAAGCCTGACTACTGACGTGACGCGTCACGACAGACGAGCGGCAATTAAAAGGCCTTCGCCGAACTTGCACCATCTCTAAAAGCTGATGAAGGCAGTGATTCAAGGGAAAGATACGGCAGAAGCGGAGACACACTGTGTCTCAACACGTCCCGCTCCCTCAAACCTGCATCTTGCAACGAGGCAGGATTTCTGCACAAGGCTCCGACGCAGGTGAACGTACACGGCACGGCTCGGTGGCACACGGCTGTGTGCAAGCGGCTATTTCAGAGCGCTGTGCTGAGCTCACACCAAGGTCTGCGGGGTCGGGATTTAACAGGGAGCAGAGATTTGGAGAGCATCAGAGCAGCCCCGCTCAGCTGTGAGGGGACTG